AGTGCAATTGTATGCTTGACAAATGTTAACCGCACTTAGTTTCAATGATTTGTGTATATTTTATAGAACAATTAAGGTTGAGATTGTTGTATGGTTCACATATATACAGATAAGTAAACAAACAAAGATAACAAACGGAAATTATAATATTAAGGGCTTTTTGTTTTTAGGTCCATTTGATTACCTAGCTTTATTTTTAAACCCAAGAATTATTAGGTGTATCTTTAAACTCAACTTTCTTTTTGTATTTATCTTTAAACCCAATTCCAAAATATAATACTCTCATATGTGGGTCCCCTATATAAGGAAATTGGGTTTAAAGATAAATTCAAAAAGAAAGTTGGGTTTAAAGATACAACTAATAATACTTGGGTTTAAAAATAAAGCCAGGTAAACAAATGGACCTAAAAACAAAAAGCCCTAATATTAAATGGACATTTGGTAAAATCTGAACAAAAAGTATACAAATTTAGAACATAAAAGGTGGATAAGTTTGTAGGACTACTCGCAATAACTACCGGAAAGGGAAAAAGAAACCTTTGTATCCATACGATCCACAGATTGAGCAGAGTACTTGCTAGGGAAGATGAGCACAACCCCTTTGGACGTCCCCATGGCTATGAAGTTGAAATGCACTGCTACAACCTCAGGGGAGCCACAGTCACGCTTGAATGTTTGTGATGAAATGGTACGAGTCACTGCATTGTCAAGGTCTATCTGCAAATAGCCAACAGCAGGCGGTCCTCTCCGGATTCCCTCGAGTCGCATCGGTTGAGCAGCCGCACCCTCCTCCCAATGCAAACCATATGAGGCCTGTCTCCTTTCAAGTTCTTCAGCCCATTCCAATGGTTTCATAGAAGCCCGTCGCTTCTTCTCTGCATTCTTACTATTCTCTAACTTTTCTAACCTCTCTTCAACAAGTTTATCTATCTCATCTCCCATGTCTCCCTCCTCTACAACCCGTCCACCAAGCTCTCCACCACCGCAACATTCCGTACCAGAATCATAACCCTGTTCACCAATTGCCTCTTCCCGCCCTAGTTCTTGATTGCCCATTCCATCACCCTCGTCAGCACTAGAAACAGCCTCATCTTGAAGCGGCAACGCACCATCTATTTGTTGAGAATTCTCATCAATGGTAGCAGATGTAGAATCTAGCGAATCCAAATCAACCAACTTATCTTCTTTTTTAGCTTCTACTGACTTAGAGGACTCTATCTCTTCGGCAAAAAAAGCTTCCTCGGTGGCTACTTCTTCAGATATCACTGCTGCTTCAGCCTCCACTGAAGAAGAAGAAGAAGGGGTGGATTGAGAATTTGCACCAGAAATTCCCTCTTCTGCTTCAGAATTCACCGAAATAGTAGCAACTATATCAGAAAGATCCCCAGTTTCTCGTAAATCCGCAGTTGACTCAACTTTCTGAATCGATTCCATGCTTCCCGCTCTCCTGTTCTTGATTGCCGCGGCATGAGGCGTGGGGATCGGCGGAGGCAGCAGCCGCGCCGCCAGTGCAGCCCCGGCTTGGGGTTCGGCCTCACAAAAGAGGCGGCAAAGCTGAAGACGAAGAAGCATTAGCTCGAAACCCTAGAGAAGAGAGAGATCCATTAGACGAAGATGAGAGCAGCCCCTGTGATCTCGATCGCCTCCATGTGGAAGAGCTCCGTTCTTCGTGATCCTTTTCTAGAGTCTGCGAAGGGGATTCGTCTTTCTGACTAGGGTTTTGCTGAATTGGTGGCTGAGTAGGAGAAGGGGAGGAGTCGTCGGAGGAGGAGTCGGAGTCGTTGAGGATCTCGTCGACGGTGCGGCAGGAAGGCGGGGCGGAGTCGTCATCCTCTTCGAGATGAGAGATCGCCGCCGTGGGATCGAAGGAGGGGGTCGAGCTCCGTCGTCGGAGCTCGGATCGATTTCTTCGCTGTCGTCATAACAATAATCGCATCTGAATCCAAGGACAAAAGCTTCGGGTTTAGTTGGATGCATAACAGGATTTTTTAGAGTGTAGACAAAATCAGAATTCTTTGTAATTTACGTTTAATTTACAGAATTATCGTTTAATTGTTTGGAATTTTTCAAATTTTCAAAACCAACCCATTTAGGAATTTATTGTCAAAAAACGACCTCATTCAAACAAATTTGCAAAAACCGACCTGGTTTCAGCCTCTGCGCTGAAACCAGGTCGGTTTTTTAAAAAAATTTCAAAACTTCACGGGAGTTGAACTCCCGTGAAGTTGACCAGCTTTTAATTAAGCTGCTAAACTTCACGGGAGTTCAACTCCCGTAAAGTTTCACAATTCAAAAATTTTATTTTTGAACTAAGAAACTTCACGGGAGTTGAACTCCCGTGAAGTTTAGTAGATTAATTAAAAGCTGCTAAACTTCACGGGAGTTCAACTCCCGTGAAGTTTCGAATTTTTTTTTTCAAAAACCGACCTGGTTTCAGCGCTGACGCTGAAACCAGGTCGGTTTTTGCAAATATCCTAGAAACGGGTCGTTTTTTGACAATAAATTCCTAAATGGGTTGGTTTTGAAAATTTGTCCATTTGCACTTTTATTTATGAAGAAATTTTCGAAATAATCTCATTCCCAATTTTATTCTCAAATTTCAACCCACTTCAAACGTTGTTACGAAAATCGACTCACTTTCTCATCACGTCAGCATCGTGGTCAGAAAGCCGATCGATTTATTTTTAATCGCGTTCCTAATTAGTCGGGGTTGCCAACCCCGACTAATTAGGAGCTCGCCCGCCACCCTGTTGGAGTTTGGCAGCTAAATTAGTCGGGGTTTCGGCGTTCGAAACACTGACTAATTTAGTTGTCTCCTAAATGGACGGGGTTGGGAACCCCGACCATTTCAAATTAGGCATTTCGAAATGGTCGAGGTTCCCAACCCCGACCATTTAGCAGAGAGTGCTCAGGCGCAAGTTAAACAAGTGGGAAATTGGCTAAGGGACACAATATTCGGGGTTGCCTACCCCGATTATTTGTTCTGGGTCCCGCCCCATATATAAACAAATCGAAACTCTTCTCCCCCAAACCCATCTCTCCCAGCCGCCTCTCTCTTCTCCAACTCCGTCGCTCTCTTGTTTTGCTTCCACCCATCTCAATTTCAACCTCATTTTGCGGCCGAAATTCATCGTGAAAGGTTGCTTAAGATCTTTAGGGTAATTTCTCTTCCTTCTCTCCTCTTTTAACATGTAAAAATCTTTGTGTGTTGATTATTGTAATTGCAATTAAACTTTTAGGGGATAGAATGCTTTGTGTGTTGATTATTGTAATTGAAATTAAACTTTTAGGGCATAGAATGCTCAACTCTAGGTTTAGAATTTTCAATTTGGGGTTTAGAGTTTTTGGTCAAAATTATATGAGATCATTTGCATCTTGGGTTTTCCTCTCGATCCCCTGATAATATTTTTAAAAAATTTTGCATTTAAATGATATAATATTCTTTTGCATAAGTTGAACAATATGATTTTTATTACGTTCTCTTATGGTGAGAAAATTAATTATGAAATGAATAATATGCCAAAATACGTCGGAAGGGTAACGACGCTATTAAAGGTCTCGGAATCATATAGTTACTGTGACTTGGTTAAGGAATTACACCGAGTTACAGAAATTGACTCACGAGAATACCGACTAAAAGTAATATGCAATTGGCCCATAACTTTTGATAGAACGTCCGCGGTTGAGATCTCAAACGATCATCATATGAGTATTATGTTTAATTTAAGCAAATTGCAACCAACGGTAGAATTGTTTATTGAAAAGTTGTCATATAGTTCGTGCCAAATATTCAAATCTCCAAGAGAATTCTTACGCATATTAGATCTATGATTTGAGTCTGATGGTTTTTTTTTCTTCTTCAATTGAAATAGAGCGGACTCAATTTCAATATCATAGGGGTGTACCTTTATTCGGTGGAACGTCAAATATCATGAACAATGAAGTCCTTTATGAAAATATGAGGCCGTTAAGAGGGCAACAATTAAGGAGGATGAAAGAAGCAATGACTCCGAAGGTAAAGAGCAAGATAGTGCACCAATTGATAGCATGCAATTTGTGAGTGAAGATATTGAAGAGAATCTGGATTGGTCTGATGAGGCTTATGTTAATAATAAATATGTTGAGTACGAAGAACCACTCCCCGACGAGTTTGAAGATGATGAGTGGATTCGTTCTTCCACAGTACAAGATATGTGTTGTAAAACCCCGATAATTTGAATATGATGAGATAAATAATAATAATATATTATATAGTGATAAATAACATATTTTGATGTTTATGTATGCTAGGAATTGATTTGAGATAGATTCAATATATATGTGTGGATATATGAGTGCAATGCACAAAACATGCACGAAGAAGAAATCTGGAAAATGATGACCAGATTTTAGTTTATATGTTTTCACACTGATAGTTAGAATCTGGAAAAACTCAAAGACCAAAGTTGTAGAACTTTTCAACAGCTTTCCAACAAATCTTAAATCACCTCATTCTGAGCACGTATGAGAAAGTTACAACTAAAATACTACGTACAGATTTCAGAAGTTTCAGTGTTTACAGTGTAGTCAACTACTAAGCTTAGTAGTTGACTATCGAGAGTTTTCCTGGACATGCCAAGTTTGGTTTTCGGGTCAAACTCGGTTTGTTTCGAGCCCAATTGATAACCTAGCTATATAATCATGTTTTTAACCTGATTTCTGAGTTTTTCCATGAAAGAATACAACCACCTCCTCCCCTCTAAACCCTAGATCTCATTTTGGTGTTTCCTCGAGGCGTTTGAGACGTGACATCGAGAAGAGGGAGAGACTGAGGGTTGTGGCTGAGGAAAAAGAGGTTGCACATATGTTCAGGAGATTAACTACATGTTTGAGGCAAGATCCCTTGCATCCAAACCTACACCCTTAGTTAATGAATGATTTAAGATGTTAAATCGATGTTTTACATGTTTAGATCTTAATCTAATATGAAAAAGATTAGAATTTTGATTATGGTAAATAAATGTTAGATCTACATGGTGTTTTGGCTGTTTATGATATAAACGTGATCATGATCTTTAGGGTTTATGTTAATTTCGTTTTTAACTTGATAATTGTGTTTAACACATGCGTAAACCCTATTTATTTGTTAATTTAGGTTTCTTGTAAGCTAATTATGCTAAAAACCTAGGTTTGTGATACCTAAGACAGATGAACATGTATAAACAAAATTTTTGCTTCTGTACATGCATAGTTAACATCATGTGTTGATAATTTTCATGGTTTAATTAAGAGCTAATTTAAGAAATTTGATTAATTAGGATGCTAATCCCTAATTAGAGCAAATTAAGAGATTGTTTCATGTTCAGGATGATTCTTGTATTTTGATGAATATTACATGTTTTATTTTGTATCAAATCACATGAGAAGTGTAGACGAATGATAAATCATGTTCGTGCACAAAAGAATGCACGTTTTAACAGGGTAGTCGACTACTAAGCTTAGTAGTCGACTAATCATGCCCAATTTGAGTTTACAGAAACATAGTATAGTGTAGTCGACTAATGTGCTTACTATTCGGCTACATAAGTTTGACACAGAAACTAAATTATTACAGTGTAGTCAACTAATGTGCTTACTAGTCGACTACTAAGTTTGACATTGAAATTTCAGAGTCTGGATGGACTCAGTGTAGTCGACTACTAAGGTTAGTAGTCGATTACTTAGACTTTTCCTCAGCATATTTGTTGTATTGTTTTGAGATGCGATCGTGGGGTTCGAGTCGCACGATAGTACACGTGTAGACATGAATATATATGAATAGTGTCGTGGTACACACATGGTTAACCCAAAGGGGATTTGATAAGTATTGAGTGATATCACTTGAGTTGGAGTAGTTTATACACATGTCGGATATCGTTAATGAGCTCAGCTTAGTACTATATGAGATAGTGCGTCGATATACCAGATTTATATAGATTATGTATGGAATGGATATTGTTAATGAGCTTAGTTCAGTACTACGCGGGGTGGTACGTCGATATTCCATTTGTACAGGTCATTGAGTCGGGTTTGGATGCTTTGTCTAGCAGTCTGTCCGTACGAGGGTGCGATGAGGCTTGTGAGCCGTCTTTTAGGATAGCTATAAGGTAGGTCATCCCGCACTCATGTTATGCACTGAGATCGTGATGAGACTAATGAGTCGTGTACAATGATTTAGGATGCCTACAGGGTAGTTCGTGATGCATGATAGTGCAATAAGATCAGAATCTTACAAAGAATTAAAATAAGATGATTATTTGATAGCCTGAGTTTTGGTGGATGCCAAAAGTAGTTATGTCAAACTGTTGAATACACACACACACACACACACACACACACACACACGCGCGCGCGCGCGCGACCGAGATACCTTACTCTTGTGATGTACATGAGACCGAGATACCTTACTCTTGTGATGTGCATGAGAATTTTATGTTGATGTCTATTATAGTGTTTTATTTTCTAGTGATGTTTCTTTCCATAGTTCGGTATTTATACTTAGGTATATACAGTCTGAGACATATGGTATATACATAAGGGTTTCCTTGTTTGGATTATTTCGCTCGACGTACTACGTCTCGTGTTGTAGATTTCTAAGTATTAATACTATTAGATATGGGGAAAATGATGTAGGTAGACTATGCTTAATAGATAGAGCCTCCACTACATCTAGCAGCCCTTGCCCTGGGGATGGATGAAGGTGATCTTACTGTAGCGCTCTGACGCTTTTGTTATTGTTCTTTTTGTTTTACTTTTTTTTTCAGGCAGTTCAGAGCTTCGGAGAGCCGCAGGTTGATGGTCTTCCAGCATAGTCACCGTCGTTCAGTTTTAGT